CAAAGTTCAGAATAAGTGTCACGTGTCGGAACTAGTACGGTTCACGTCCCCACCAGTGTTCATGTCTATTTAATGACTGCATTTATATAATGGAAACTGTGATACATGTCCAAACTTGTTTCATAATAATATGATTATCATGGTATTTCATAATATGTGGATAAAATGAATCCAGATTGTCTTCAATTATATTTCTGTTATTATGATATCTACTTTACGGACTTGCTTATTTGGTTAACATAATGAATTTTGATGGCATATCCAAAAATTTGAAGATTGCACTCAAAGAAAAGTATTGTAGAATGAGTTTTTTAAACGATGGTTTGAACACTTTAAAATATGGTCCATTGCTTTTTTTCTGTAAATAACCAAAATCTGTACATTCCAGAATGTAGACCAACACATTTTTCATGAATATTGCTTGTCTCGAGAGTCCATTTCAAGAGAATGGCTACCTATCATGATAAAGCTTTTCAAGTACATTATATGTTGTTGCATGCTAATTTGGGTAGACGACTTTCAGTTTAATTTCATTACTTAATTACAGTTATTGCAAATACATACACATGATTTAAGTGTTTTATTTTTGTAATGAAAACTTGGTTAACCTTCATCTCGACCCTTTTACTTTGAGTCAACTACAAGAATTTCTCGGCAATGAATGGAATATAGGTTGAACAGTTCAAGTACCACCCAGAATATTCTATTTTGCGCGCTAAAGTGTCACAATCCCGAGTGGCGTTTTAATTGGTTGCGGCGAAATCTATATTTCTGTACAAAGTGGACACACGGATCGAATAAGACGCGCGCACGTACGTTTTTAGCCCAGTCGCGGTCGCTTTTGAAATGTAATAGTTATACTAGTGAAATTGCCGGTCCACTTGGATGGAAGTCGAGATAAACTTGAAACTTCGGCCGGCTACGTTGAGCAGTGCACCAGAGTGTCTTAAAAGTGGAAGTTGACTGTTCAATCATTTGTCTCAGCCATTTATTTTCATGCCACCCAAATTCCTTTTCGGGCTTCGACAAACCTTAAAGTTTAACTTAATAATAAAGGGGCCGTTCACATATTACGTCATCATCGAAGAGGGGGTTTGTAAATGATTACGCTAGCGCAATTTTATCACAAGAGCTATGTGTAAAACTGATAAGGGGCCATCTACTTAGAGGGTCGTTCACATATTACGTAATCAGCCGAGGGGTTTCCAAATGATTACGCTACTGTAATTTTGACACAATAGCTATGTGTAAAACTAATTACGGAGGGGGGGTAAAAATTGTCCAAAAAATGATTACGTAATATGTGAACGATCGCTTGGGACATCCGGAAAATATAGGGAGGGGTGGTTTTGGAATTTCGGACAGGGGGAGCGGGGTGGTTTCTGAAAATCCGGACGTCCGGAAATTTTGGCAGAATTAACGAAAAAGTCTCATTTATTTCAACTCTTTGAATTTCATTAACAATGAATTTGAGTTGGTTTTAGTTGAACTCTTAAAAGTAGCTGGACGTCCGGGGGATGGGAGTGGTTTTGAAAATTCGGACAGGGGGAGGGGGTGGTCTGAAAATCTTCAATTTTGGCGGACGTCCTTAGTAGATGGCCCCTTGTTCTAGATACTGCTAGGAAGTCAAGTTAAAGAGTCATTCACAGATCAAGTCACGGTCATTTGCATATTATATTGTGCATTAGAATTTCGAAGTTTGGCGCGGAAGACCTGAGAGAGTTCCTGCGCGTTACATACATGTAATTGACATTTAGACTATATCAAGCCGGCCCGTTTTCAGTTTTGTTGCTGCGATCATACTCTGTTAAAGATCATCTTCTAAAACTGCTCATGATTGATGTTTGCGTCACAGATTACTGGGGTTGGATGTGAAACAACCACACCTACTGTCACCATCATTAAGGGAAATGGAACGTCACGGCGCGGATCTCAAGTATCAACCGTGGTAGAAACATTGAACACAGTGTTGTATTCTTGTCCAAATTGGTTATGACCATGATTTATAATAACCACAGTTCGACATAAAGTATACCGTGAATCTCTATTCTACAGCAGAGAGCACAGTTAACACCTGATTGACACTGCTCCAGATGGCGGGATGTTAGTGTAAACTTGAACAAACAAAGAATTGTATGTCAAGCAAAACTTGCCAAGACCCACACTCCTTCAATACAAATCTCCTTACTCCGCATAACTTACTCCGCATAATCATGAGATGCAGGATATGTGTCGCACTCTAACTTAATTCGGCTAGAATTAAGAATTGCTTCTGGACAACAGCATCTTGTACGTCCACCAATGTACTTGCCATTATGTCCGATGTCTTTTGGAAGTCAAACTAAGAAATCTTATGCAATAGACTGAGTAACTTTTATTTGCAACTTTTATTTTCAGCTTACCAAAGTTTACAATACTCGAATGGCGTGTTTCACTGTCTTTAACATGTTGTGTTCACTAAAATCCTCAAGCGAATGAGCCACGGTAACATAGTAATGTAGATTATAGAACCTAAATGATTAGTTTCTTACACAAGATGGTGTGTATTATAGTCGTGAGGGACCAGCAGCATATCATTGATATCACCATGACAACACATCTCTAATCATCAAATACTTCCGAACCACTACCAGTTCATTACCCGTCTTAATATATACTACAAGTCCAAGTGACGGGTCTTATATCTTACCTCCTCGCTACTTATATCTTAACTCCTCACTAATCCGACCAATATTGTGTGTTTTATATTTAGCACGGTCCGCACTCCGCACCAAAGTACAGACTCTCTACCAATAGTAAGTAGTGAGGGGAGGATAGGAGGAAGATAATTCACTGGCAGCACTGTACTAGTGTACTAGTGAGTAGTGAGTAGTGATGTAATGTGGTTACTTGCCTGTAGGAGTAAGGGATTTGTAATGTTTATTTAAAACGCAGTGAAATGGGAGAGGGAAGATATTCTACAAAATACATGACATTTAAAAGCTGAAGCTATTAAAGAATACTTTAATAATGAGTTCAATGACAAAGATGAACCCCACCTCCCAGCATTCATAGACCCTCCTGGAAGCCTCCTCTGTCCCATAACACCTGAAGAAGTTGGCCGTGCTGTTATGAAGCTGAAATCCGGTAGAGCGTGTGGCCCTGACGGTATACCTAATGAGCTAATGAAAGCTGCTGGATATCCCCTCCACTGTGAGTTGGCTAGGATCTACAATCTCTCCTTTGAGACCAACACATACATCCCAGCTATTGGAGAAGGTATCCTGACACCCCTTCAGAAGCCAGGAAAACCCCGAGGTCCGATAAAGTCTATCCGGCCCCTCACATTGCTAAATGGAACTAGAAAAGTCCTATCCCTCGTAGCCTTGAACAGAATAAATTACCACGTTGATATGTACACTGGACCTTGGCAGGCGGCATACAAGCAGGGTCGCAGTTGTGCTGACCTGGTATGGTCTCAGAGAATGTTGACATCAGTGGTTACCAGGCGCGAGTTTGAGTATAGTAAAATCAACATTGACATGACCGCTGCGTTTAATACTATCCGCAGACAGACCATCATCAACCTCCTCATTGATGCAGGATGCTCTAGAGACGACATTCGCCTAGTTCAGTACCTCCTCTCAAATACAAAGCTCAAGGTGACGGTCAACAGATCTGAGTCTGGTGAATTTGTGATTAATATTGGCGCTTACCAGGGAGACAGTCTGGCTGGTAAAGTGTTTACATTGACCCTTGCCGGTGCCCTGAATCACATCAGAGCCGTGATCAGTGTCACGATTCCTAGACCGAACCCCCCAGTCTCTGATGGAGGCCTCCCGTTAGAGTCAGCCTATGCTGACGATGCTGAGCTTCTGAGTGAAGATGGTCAGCAGGGACAAAAGGATTTCGCGGCATGTACGAAATCGCGAAATTTCCCATTCTCCGCGACAAATTTTATGTATAGTTTAATGTATAGCCTGTTAAATTTCCCTAAATTTCGCGGTACCGCGATTTTTGGCCAAAATAATCGCGAAATCCTTTTGTCCCTGATGGTCAGAGCCTGGTGAAGATACTAGAGATTGCCAGTGATATACTAAAGGATTGGAGTCTCTTTGTTAACGAATCAAAGACGGTGTTTACAAGAGTGTATTTGGCAGATACAGATGCTTTAGATGCCCATGGCAATAAAATTAGAGGAGATGAAGAGTGGCGAGAGTCAGTGCTATTAGGATCAAAGTTCTGTTCAGAAAGAGATATTGTCAACAGACGCAACAAAGCCAATGTTGCCCTCTACACCTACAAGAAAGTCTGGTTGAATAGTTCTGTTCAGATCAGTGAGAGTAGAAAGCTGAAGCTGTACGAAGCTCTTGTCACTTCAGTGTTGTTGTATAACTGTAGCAGCTGGGCTGCTCCTGAAACCGTAATGGCATCTGTCGACGTTCTTCAAAGGAAGCATCTGAGACAGATAATCAACACCTATTGGCCTACGGTTATCAGTAACGAGAATTTATATAAGAGATGTAATGTCAGACCCCTTACTGAAAGGATCAAGAAAGCAAGATGGAAAATGCTTGGGCACGTTCTCAGAAGCGGTGATGACACTCCCGCCTTCTTATCTTTCAGATTTGCATATTTAGGATGTTTTGACTACAAAGGAAGGAGGGGCAGACCTCGTTCAAATTTATTTGATTTATTATTTAAAGACATTATGACAAAGAAAATTATTGTGATTGTAAATAAAAGATTTAGTTTAAGTAATTTCAACGATTTAGTGTACAAAGCTCATGATAGACGTTTATGGAGAAGCTATGGGTGAGTCGAGACTACTCGGCCACTCGATTTTATGATTTAATTTTTATTATCTTGTGTTTGCTGTATATAGTTGATTAATAATAATACATGACATTTGCAGCTGGTTTTAATATTTTTATTATTTTCTCAACTGCTTGTCATACAGTAAAGTAAATTGTTTTCATTTTTCAATTTCAACCACAAAGATTCAATAACAATAGACAGAATTGGTGTTTACAAATATATTAAAAGAATAGAACATTACATTTAAATAGAACAGTTACCGACTAGTTCAAAAACACGTGACTTTTCTGCAAAAACACGTGATGTTCCTGTAAAATCACGTGACATTTCTTCGTCATGCAGCAGCTGTGATTCACAGCTAGATTACGTGTCCAAAGTTAATAGGAACACACACGTGGTAAATCTTGTTTTTTATCATCATGTATCTTGGTCAAAGATAGCATTTTTACATCTAATGGAATCAACCCGATAATATTTAAAATAACAGAACCCAAACAAACAACACAATAATATCTCTGTATCTCTTATAATCTGCTGTGCTCTACTGTTTAAGTGTTTATGTTGTATTCTCTCTTTTGTTTTGAAATGATGTGTCATAATCTCAGTTAATATTAGCAGCTAAATCGTGAAAATCATATTATCATGATATCTAAAATCTGTCATTGTGTAAAATGATCCTAATGTCATTCAAGATCAAGCGAATCCTCAAGCTAAAATCTGGCTAAAATCAGCTATAAAAATGTTTATATATGAGTAAAATATAATGATGATCAAAAACATAATATATCCTCTAGAGTGATCTTTATTAGATTATGGCTATAAATTAAAATTTCATCCTCATAAATTATCTGGTAGCACTGTTAAAACCATGTTTGGTAAAAATGAAACTGATAAGTTAACGCCCACTAAAACAATTTAAAACATGTCTGCTAGAATTACTTTCACTTTCATTCGCTATAAATTAAAATATCATCATCGTTAATGACCTATATGTGATGTACACCAAGATTTAGTCAAAATAAAAACTGTCAACCCGACACCCAAACACCAAAATATTTTGTACAATGAAAAAGTAGCTAAAAACAATACACTATAACATATAAGTCAATTTAACTTAAAATAACAATATAGTACTGTAATATATAACTCTGAATTATAAAATTATTCGCATGAAAGCAATCATGACAAATATAACTACGATCAACTTTTTTCAATGGAATATCATCAGTAGCCCAATCAACCTCCCAACTTTGTTGATCACGATAAATCATAGCTAATTAGTAATTAATCTCCTCTTTTTTCTTCAACAAACAAACAACATGTTTCATCACACTCAATTTCAAGGAAACTTAAAGGAAAATACCAAAGAATCATCAGATCCATGTGTCGCGCGGGGGACCCTGTCGCGCGCCATTATATGGCGCATCACTAGCTGACACCCCACTGTGCGGTACACTGTAAATAGGAGATACGGGCCCGTTACTCGTGAGGGTACCGTTTATTGGTACATTCATCTCCTTTACCTCTAGTGGGGACTCCATTGCGTCTACATTAGATAGGTCGGAGATTGAACTGTTATCATTATTTGAGGATGATCTGAAAAAGGGAGCGTTAGAGGTAATCAATAATTAGTCAAGTTGATGAGATAATTGATAATAGAGAACTGATAATAGAGAACTTGATAATTAAATAGAGAGCTATTACATAAGAAAGACATTTATTGCTTACTTTTAGGGACATTTAGTTAATCAATTAAACAGTAATTAAATAGTAATTAGTATATTAATTAAATAGTAATTAAATAGTAATTAAATAGTAATTAAATAGTAATTAAATAGTAATTAGTAATTAAATAGTAATTAGTATATTAACTAAATACCTGCTATGATAAGCTGGTGGAGGGGAGGTGGCGTTGATGCCATCATAACAGAAACTTCTAGACAAACTAGCGTCCTGTACGTTATTAGAGGCAGCTTCACTCTGGGCTCTGGAGTACTCCGGTGGAGGAGAGACTGGGATCTGAAGAAGGAGCTGAGTAGAGTTTAGTAACTTAGTAGCTGAGTTAGTAGTAGCTATACTAGAAGAGCTATACTAGCTTAAAGCTACCCTAGCAATGTTAATACTGTCACCTATATTACCTTAAAGAGTGGGAGGCAGTGCACTAGCTTTTTTAATGAGCACTGTATTTGTATAATGCATAAGATTCTCAAGTATACTCTCAGAACCTCGATATAAATGCAAATTACGAGAAGGCCAGCTACACACACTATTAGAGTGACACGTACACGCGGGGACTTCCTTTAGTAATCATACATGTGAAATAGGACGTGTAACAGGTCATTACACGTTATTTGACACATTAAGTGTAAGTAATGGCCGGTATTTTAGGGGAACTGCCGCGGAAACATCTTGTCATATAAAGATATAATGATAGTGTTCCGGCAATTCATCCAAATTTCATATTAGCTATCTGAATACCACGTGTATAGTACGTGTGTAGTAGCCAAGTGACCATTCGAGGCACATTTTACTGTATGCAAAGGCTCAAATCTCAAAGCAGTGGCACGTTAATAAAACAAGCGAATGGTCCTATTTCAATTTGTCATCGTTAACATTATTAAAGCCTGAAGGTATTCAATAATCTACATCAGTATTACAAGTAGAACTTGTACTCGTGTATAATATCACGTTACGACATCTTTGGAATGTAAGAAAGTGGTTTTGTAAGAACCATGTCATTTACATTCTACATTCTACATGGATAAAATCATCAAGCTAGCACGGATAAGATCATTTAAATATATTATCATTTTATGTCACACACATAATGAGAGTGGGAACTGGGAATTTCCCATTTCAGGAAGATGTAATTTGTAGTTTAGGGCTGATTTTACCATCTGTATAATTAATGTCAAGATTATTTATGTTTTAACAGTAATGAGTATAAGTAGCAGTGGTGTTTAAACTTTACTTCTTATAAAAACCATTTTGATCTAGAAGGGGCTAGAAGGCTAAGGTGTAGACTAATGCATGTGACAGTACTGATCAGTAGTGACTCTACGATGTTAGTATTCAGTATGATTACAGATTGCTCAGTCGGTACCACTGTTTTGACCAATGCTAGATACAATAGATAGGTTTCAATATAACAATAATCTGATCCTGGGATTGTAGTGCACCCCCGCCCCCTGATCCTACCAGCATGAGAAGATACACTGGTATTCTGACGCTGATTTGCTCGATATTTGTGGGTAAAGTTAAAACTGCCCGAAGAAAGCTACTTTCTTAAGTACCCGAACATTTTACGGAGGATTTAAAAGTTCTGCTATTAAACATAACCATATTTTATTCAGTGTGACTACGATAAGTGATTCTTCAGCCAGCATATATTAACTGCTGACCACCGATTGATAACAATAACAAGGATATGTTTCTGCCAGCAGCAGCAGGATATACCGTGGTAATTTGGAGCTGATTAGTGCGCTACTTGTGGGTAATATAAAGCTAAAACTAAGCACTATACTGATACTACTATAATACTACTATGATACTACTATACTGCAACCTGAAGCGCTCCGTAGAGGGCTATTTTCTTACTAAAATACCATTTATCAATATTTACAAGTCCTGCTAACAGTGCCCATATTTAGACTTTACAACAGCCCCCTGGCCCTGTTATTATTATTATTCAGGCTCCCCCTACACTAATATAACCTAATTACATATTATGAGAACAGAGAGACTGAGTCAGTTAATACCTTAGTGGTGATGTCATAACATCACATGGGACTGGGGGAAGATAACAAAGGTTTGTACACACTTGGAACGCGGGGGAACGCAGCAACAGTAATCTTGATAAAGGAGCACACTTTCTCTTATGATGTGTGGGCCCTCAGACAACAGGAGCCAGTGTGTTACATCATGTTACCATGGTTACATGTTACATGTTACACTTGGCATGTAAATGTTACTTACATTTTACACACTTGCTGCTTGATCGAGGGTAGCAAGGTTAACTTGTTTATGTTGTTATGATTAGAGATAAGGTAATGACTGAGAAACCTAATTAGCGGTTACAAACATTACGAGAGGGGAGGAAAGAGAGGAGAAAGAGGGGCCCAGCCGGGGTGATGTAATACTAGTGTGGGGAGGCGACTTATAGTTCTTAATGTTTGCTTGCTTGGAATGTGTGATATTCCACCTGGATATGGTCATCGTGTGAGACCTTCGTGATTAATCTCGTCGTTAAATGCGGTTATTAAGAACAGTTGTCAGTTTATGATTGTTTATGATTATTTAAGAGATATTCCCAGAGCTGAGGAATGATAATGTTGTTTTTACAGCATTTAAAGGGAGAAGGCGGAACTTAAACAAAGAGAGAGAGAGATTACCAAGGTATGTTGGTTTTACGGTATAGGGATCAAGGTGTAACCAAACAATTAAGTTTAAATAAATAAGGAGAGTACTGTTTATGCAGAGTAAAAGTGTTAATATTTTGTGTACACATTTTACCACGGACTTGATTAAGGCCCATTTTAGACAAAGTCAGAGTAGTGAAGTCTGGAGAAACCAAATCAATAGCTTTGGGGGGGGGGAGCTTTTTGCATTTCAGCTATGTGGCAGCTTTTTGGCGGCGACTGACGGCGCGGTGGCGCCTATGGTCATTGCACTTGAACCACATTGCACTATTGTAGCATGGTTACGGTAAAGTTGCACTGCAAGTTACTTCAAACACCACAATGTTTATTATATTGGTAAAACTAAGTTAAACAATTTATTGCTAGATTCTTTCGCACATTTCAACATCTGGCGCATCCCACACCATCTACATAATGATAAATACGTACTCTCAAATTTCATATTACAGAACAGAAATTAGGCAGAATACGTATTACTTTTCTACGGATGAAACTCTATATTATTATTATACATTGTGCTGTAAGAAATGATCTGCGATGTCCACAGTAAAAGTGCCTATATTCAGACAACCATTTTACAACTTAAATACATATTATAACCACTAATAATATAATGGTGAATTAAAAGCAACCGTTTAAAGACTTTTGAATACTAAACCTTAAAACGTTAAAACCAGCAATAATAGTTAGTTATTTAAAGATAAAGGTAAATAATAATGGTACCAACCAGGTCGTTAGCTCCATTCTCAGTTCCGTCATTCCAAGAGTTAATAGGTTTACTGCCAGCAGAGGTGATGAGGGGACCTGTAGATCGACATCTGAAGTAGAGGAGAATAGAGAGGAGGACCGCTATTAACACTCCACATCCCAGAGCGATACCTGTGGAGGGGAGATGTTAGTTAGTTACTGATAGGAGGACCGCTATTAACACTCCACATCCCAGAGCGATACCTGTGGAGGGGAGATGTTAGTTAGTTACTGAGAGGAGGACCGCTATTAACACTCCACATCCCAGAGCGATACCTGTGGAGGGGGATGTTAGTTAGTTACTGAGAGGAGGACCGCTATTAACACTCCACATCCCAGAGCGATACCTGTGGAGGGGAGATGTTAGTTAGTTACTGAGAGGAGGACCGCTATTAACACTCCACATCCCAGAGCGATACCTGTGGAGGGGAGATGTTAGTTAGTTACTGAGAGTAGGACCGCTATTAACACTCCACATCCCAGAGCGATACCTGTGGAGGGGGATGTTAGTAAGTTAGTGATTGGAGACGAGTAGATGACTTGTTAATAGTTGATAACTTGGTGGCAGATAAGAGGACGCCACTAACGAGCCTACTATACCGGGCTCGTCTTACAATCGGAAGAAATTGTAGCCCTCTAGTTTTCAAATTCTAAAATTGTACTGTTTAATTTGAGTCATGAGCTAAGAATGGAGGCGTATTCTTGAAATGTTCAATCAAGTTCATATAATTTCAACAATCTCATGTTTCCATCCGAGGCATGCGGAGCCCAAGGCAAATTAATTACCTTCTGGGTTTGGTGATTAAATTTGGGATTGGGTAACTTAGAATTTATTGGGTCATTGAAACTTAATCTTATAATTTTACACATGCACAAAAATAACTAACCTTACAAGTCATGAGTGAAGCAGTTGGATATCAACATCTAAACATACTAGTAGTGTAACACTACACAGTACATACAGTAAATACAGTAAATACAGCTACAGTACATACTTGACATAGTTGTACCGAATTCTATCAAGACTCATAAAATTCAATTGATTAACTCCTCTAACTCGGATACCAGAACCACCACTACCAACATTCCATACACTTACACGCACAGCGACACAGGTGGTTAATATATGTATTTATAAAGGAGCTTATATAATGTGCTCACTGTGATGTTTGTTGTCACGGTTATAAATAAACTCATGGAGCCGTGTAGGGAGTTAGTTTTATGTTACACACCATGACGAACATGTTTATATATTTTACTTTGTGGAAATTTAAGTGTGTAGTGTCTGTACTTAGTGTGACTAAATTTTAATAAAATTCAACATTATATAAATACTTACTTATGTTAATTAAGAAGAGAGTCCGTATCATTATTGTGGTGGCTGGCTAATATCTGTTGATAAACAGGGCTAAAATACAAAATATTGTGAAATGATACAAAGCAACTACAAGAAGTAATAGGAGAGAGAAAATAGGAGAGAGAAAATAGGAGAGAGAAAATAGTTCAACACTTCAATACTCCCCCCCCCCCCCCCCCCCCCCCCCACTAAATAGGGGTTCAATTAGTTCTTGTGACTTTTAACCTTAAGCAACCATAACTGCTTAAAGTAAGGTAAATATTTTATAAATAATGACTGAAGTACTTTCTTCCAGCTCCCCTGCGTCATCTCCTTCATTGATTTCTCTAAGGCGTTTGATTGCATCTTTAGATCTCATCTTCCTAACATTCTGGCGTCCTATGGCTTCCCTAAGATAATAATCAAAGCCATTATGTCCCTTTACATCAACACCAAAGCCAAGATCATGACCCCTGAAGGTACAACTCTTGAATTCCTGACCAACCTTGGAATTCTCCAGGGCGATGTTCTTTCTCCGCTTATCTTCATTATCGTCCTGGACTTCATTCTTAGACTGGCAATAGGTCCACAAGATGGGCTTAAAGTAGGTTGTGATTACATAGCAGATTTGGACTTCGCCGATGACTTAGCTACAATCACACCCAGCTTCAGCGATAACAGCCGCCTCTGTCAAAGTATCTCTGATATTGCAGCCCGGTATGGTTTACTCATCAACATCGAGAAGACAAAATACATGTCCTACAACCTACCACGGCCTGTTAACTCGGATGATAGGGTCTTCATTAACAGCAACCCTCTCGAAGAAGTCCACGACTTTAAATATCTAGGATCCTACATCGCTTCAACCAGCAAAGACATCAATGTCAGGAAAGGCCTTGCATGGAAAGCACTTGAAAGTCTAGATGTTTTCTGGAAATCTGACATGTCTAGAAAGATCAAGACTAAAATTTTCAGAACTGCAGTCGAGCCTGTTCTTTTATATGGCGCAGAAACATGGACTTTGAAGAAAGCTGACACTAAAGCACTAGACGGTGTTTACACACGAATGCTACGAAGGGTCTTTGGTATCTCATGGAAATCCCACACACCTAACTCCGTCCTCTACGGAAATATCCCATCGGTGACTGATACCATCAAAACACGAAGACTTCGTTTTGCAGGGCATGTCTACCGTCTACAGGACCAACCTGCTCAGCAACTCCTTTTCTGGCAACCATCTTACGGCAAAAGGTATCGAGGACGACCACACAAGACCTTTCCGGACGTCCTTCAAGAAGATACTGGTTTAGAGCCCCACATGATACGTCTGCTCATGAGTGATAGAGATAAATGGAGACATGCGTTGACACGAAACTCGTTCCAGATTTCATCTGGACCGACCTAGGCAGGTAGGCAGGAATTACTTTCATTTATATTTGAAAAGCAACGATGTAATATTATAAATACTATATAAATAGTAACGAAAAGGTACTGAGGAAGTTATGCAATGTCTGCTCTTTAAATGAACAAATCAAATAGTAAATACTGAACAGTATGGTTTCTGACATTCTATACTTAAATAATAACGTAATTATATTCTTCTTTATGGCTGTCAAACAAGTTATGAAGTTACAAGTTACGAAGCAGGAGATTAAAAATGGCGGGACACTGCATCCGACATCCTGAGCTACTTGCCAGTGATTTAGTCTTATGGGAACCTACGCACGGTAGAGCACAGCAAGGCCGACCAAGACAAAGTTAGGACAAACTCTAAAGAGGAACTGCGAACCCTGATGCGGGACAGGATATGGAGGGGGTTATCTGGCGTAGATCGGACTTAGTTCCGACATAGTAGTAGTAGTATGAACGAGAATTATTAAAATATTCCTTTTTGATCCATTTGAATAATGGTTCCAAATACCCCCGCGAATATATTGAGTGCATAGCTAAGTAAAGTTAGCATATTCAAGTTATCGCTGAACTATAAATTCTGCACAGTCTGCATTTTTAACTAAAACCAATGAAGACTGAAGATTTGATGGAATTATTCTTGCGCAAGATGAAATTATTCTTGCATGCTTCGGAAAATGTGCTCTTATCAGTTTCAGTAAACGGGAACACTACAAATTTTGCACCAGAATCAGTATTTACACAAGCCCAAAATAGCAAAATCAACGAAATAAGCTTCCATCGTTATAGGAAGTATCTTGCAACGCATTAAAAGCACCATTTTTATTAATTGATTATTGAATATCCATTCCTGTTGCAAACATTTATAATTAAATTCAAGCAGTCGAATGATTGCGGAGGGAAGCGTCGAAAGCGACGTTTGCAACACCTCTTAAGTGCCTACTTTGTTGGATCATAAAAATACTTTCTCAGCTCTCGACTCAAGGGCGAATTTTCGAGTTCAAAGGGGGGGGGGGGGGGGGGGGGCCAATGGCATAAAATGGCATAAAATGGCATAAAATGGAGACTTTTTCTATGGAGAAAATGGAAAAACCCATGAGTAATTCTCCATTTTCTCCATTTTATGCCATGAATTTTGTCTTCGAAATTTTATCTTTAACACAATTTAACACCTAAATTGGACATCCTAACATGTTTATTTACGCTTACTAGGGGCGTAACAAGCTTATGAAAGCTCATAGTAGGCTACTAGATGCTTATACTAGGTTAGTAGAGGCACACTTCAGGCAAACTCATAATTACTCAAGCCTAGTGTAAAGTTATTTCTACAGGCTACAGCAGGAGTGAGTAATAGGGGAGAGTAATAGGCACTGAGAAGTGAGACCTACATCCTCGACAGTCGAAACAAGCTCGCACTGCAAAGGGGAGGCCTGCCTTCCGAGATCGTATTACCAGGGGGAAGCCTCGAGTCCAACATTGTGTACCGAGGGGTAGGTGCAGACTTCGATAAACCGAAAAACCAAAAAAATATTTTCGGCTTATAATGAAGAGGGTAGCATGAAACGTAGAGAAAAGTGGTTTTTAGAAAAACTTTGAAAAATTTTGACTTAGAAAATTTTCGGCCCGAGTCATTCTCGATACGTACCTCTCGTATCGAGAGCTCCCAATTCCGAGCTCGTGTTGCAAAGGGGAGGCCTGCCTTCCGAGATCGCATTACCAGGGGAAGCCTCGAGTCCAACATTGTGTACCGAGGGGTAATTTTTTAAGTCAAAATTTTTCAAATTTTTTCTGAAAACCGCTTTTCTCCACGTTTCATGCTACTCTGTTCATAATTTGCCGAAAATATTTTTTCGGTTTTTCGAAGTCCACACCTTCCCCTCGATACACAAGTTTGGACTCGAAGTAATGCGATCTCGGAAGGCAGGCCTCCCCTTTGCAACACGAGCTCGGAATCGGGAGCTCTCGATACGGGAGGTACGTATCGAAAATGACTCGGACCGAACATTTTCTAAGTCAACATTTTTCAAAGTTTTTCTGAAAACCACTTTTCTCCATGTTTCATGATACTCTGTTCATTATTGGCCGAAAATATTTTTTCGGTTTTTCGAAGTCCACACCTTCCCCTCGATACACAAGTTTGGACTCGAAGTAATGCGATTTCGGAAGGCAGGCCTCCCCTTTGCAACACGAGCTCGGAATCGGGAGCTCTCGATACGGGAGGTACGTATCGAAAATGACTCGGACCGAACATTTTCTAAGTCAACATTTTTCAAAGTTTTTCTGAAAACCACTTTTCTCCATGTTTCATGATACTCTGTTCATTATTGGCCGAAAATATTTTTTCGGTTTTTCGAAGTCCACACCTTCCCCTCGATACACAATTTTGGACTCGAGGTAATGCGATCTCGGAAGGCAGGCCTCCCCTTTGCAACACGAGCTCGGAATCGGGAGCTCTCGATACGGGAGGTACGTATCGAAAATGACTCGGACCGAACATTTTCTAAGTCAGCATTTTTCAAATTTTTTCTGAAAACCGCTTATCTCCACGTTTCATGCTACCCTGTTCATTATTTGCCGAAAATATTTTTTCGGTTTTTCGAAGTCCACACCTTCCCCTCGATACACAATTTTGGACTCGAGGTAATGTGATCTCGGAAGGCAGGCCTTCCCTTTGCAACACGAGCTCGGAATCGGGAGCTCTCGATACGGGAGGTACTTATCGAAAATGACTCGGACCGAACATTTTCTATGTCAACATTTTTCAAAGTTTTTTCTGAAAACCACTTTTCTCCATGTTTCATGATACTCTGTTCATTATTGGCCGAAAATATCTTTTTTTAAAATAATTTTTCTCGAAATTCTAAATTTTTCAGGTTTTCAATGGCATAAAATGGCATAAAATGGCATAAAATGGAGACTATTTCTATGGAGAAAATGGAAAAACCTATGAGTAATTCTCCATTTTCTCCATTTATGCCATTGGCCCCCCCCCCCCCCCCCCCCCCCCCCCCCCCCCCCCCCCCCCCCCCCCCCCCCGTTCAAAGACAAAATAGTTTCTAAATTTAAAATCAACTTCCGTTTTGCTCGAGCAACCACTCGACTGTTCTGTGATCTCTCACGCGAGATAACGATAAATGCAATCATAACTAAACTGTATTTGTGACTCTTTGACACTTGCTTGACCAAACCAGACAACTTAGAATATTAAATCCTGCCAATTCTTCATTGTATGTCTACGTCAAAAGGATCAGTCCAATATCGTTTAACTAAACCTTTTATTATAAAACGTGACAAAATTGTCTTTGAAACCAGATCATGAGATCAATGTCCAATAACCAAACGGGACCAATACGAATGTTACCCAAGAAACATTATGCATGGCCAATAGAGTAATAGAAACTCTGTATAGTCCAGTCATTTACGGACATTTTTGGGTTAGTACCTGCAAATTTTCAGATACCCACGAAACTTTGCACAGACCTTCCCAAAGGTATGATAAAACGATTTTCGGTTGGAGACATTTTTTTTACTTTGGGCAAAACCCAGGAGGGCCACGCCCATCTGACCCAATAACGTAACTGACCCCTTGCTTCTGAAGGTCGTAGAGACTTCAAAATAGGCTTAAACGAAGCCGCATATGCATGTTTATATAAGAGTTATTGATCAACACATTGCCTAAAATCCTTACTTTTCGAGAAATTCGCCAAAAACCATTTTGGGCGTGGCGCTGAGCCGATTTTACTAACTTTTGATAGGATTGTGATAGAGTCTTTGGATAGAGTGCAAAAGAACCGCAATTGGCATATTTATATATGACTTACGAAGAAACATATGCCTTAAAGTGCTTACTTTTTCAGTTATTGGCGAAAAACTGATTTTCGGTTCCAGAAATCATGCAAAAATATGGGTATGTGGTACATTGGGCTATGAAGGCCTTAGAGATTTTTGAATGAGTGCAAATTGTGCAGAATGGCCATGTTTATATACAACTTATGAAGCAACATGCACCCTAAAATGCTTACTGCTCGAGTTATTTGGGGGAAAAACAGAGGAAATGTGCACAAAATAGAGCAAAATTGGTTATATCAGCCATTTTTGCCTCCCGTTCTATGTTAATAACTCGAAAAGTAAGCATTTTAGGGTGCATGTTGCTTCATAAGTTGTATATAAACATGGCCATTCTGCACAATGTGCACTTATTCAAAAATCTCTAAGGCCTTCATAGCCCAATTTACCAGATACCCATATTTTTGCATGATTTCTGGAGCCGAAAATCAGTTTTTCGCCAATAACTGAAAAAGTAAGCACTTTAAGGCATATGTTTCTTCGTAAGTCATATATAAATATGCCAATTGCGGTTCTTTTGCACTCTATCCAAAGACTCTATCACAATCCTATCAAAAGTTAGTAAAATCGGCTCAGCGCCACGCCCAAAATGGTTTTTGGCGAATTTCTCGAAAAGTAAGGATTTTAGGCAATGTGTTGATCAATAACTCTTATATAAACATGCATATGCGGCTTCGTTTAAGCCTATTTTGAAGTCTCTACGACCTTCAGAAGCAAGGGGTCAGTTACGTTATTGGGTCAGATGGGCGTGGCCCTCCTGGGTTTTGCCCAAAGTAAAAAAAATGTCTCCAACCGAAAATCGTTTTATCATACCTTTGGGAAGGTCTGTGCAAAGTTTCGTGGGTATCTGAAAATTTGCAGGCACATGTCCATAAATGACTGGACTAGTAGACCTAATAGAGTCGAATCAGACAATAATATTTTTGGATCTCCATTTCCTATTATTATCAATAAGAAGGCTAATGATTTAGAGATCTAGTGACTTAATCGATGAAACTGACAGTCATTTGTCGTAGTTACCTAGTATGCAAACTTCGACATAAATGATTGTCACCAAACGAACGTTTGACAAAACCAGCATGATTGCTGCTTGCTTGATATATATACTTAATAATATTGAAGTCGTCGTCGGGTGACCGACAACTGAACCCAATTGAACCTAGTTCCCACACAGTTAACAGGTACCCAATCAGCTTAATTGGGTGACCAATCAGCTTAAATCCCAAAACGACAACTGAACCCAGGTCATATCGCAACTGCACCGAAATCGTCATTTGGCAATCCAAAATTGTCACCACAATTTCTAATTTAAATATTATTTCTAATTATATTATTACAAAGAGAAGATAAATTATTTTAACTCTTGTTGAATTTGGGATATGAACCATTAAATTAATACACAGAATGTATCTTTTCCAATTTCGACGTTTAATTTGTGGAATAGAGGCCGTATAGAGGCCGTATAGTAGCCTTATAGAGACCGTATAGTAGCCGTATAGTAGCCATATAGAGGCCGTGTAGTGACCGTATGATGGCCGTATTGTGGCCGTATAGTGACCGTATGATGGCCGTATTGTGACCGTATTGTGGCTAAGATTATCACCATAAAAACCGCCGAAACACACCTTGATAAGTGATCATATTGAATAATTGATAAATAGTATAGATTTAATAGAAGACCCAACTAACCGACAATTGCCCCACTAGAGAGGTTGTCCTGGGCAGTGTTCCCTTCTGTTCTGGGCTGGTTTGTGGGGGCCATTGTCTTTCCTTCTCGCATCGTCACAGAGTCCTTGCTCTCTGAGGAGGAATTAGAGATGGTATTAAATAAGAGAGTGTATGAATATTTATTCAGAAAACTCTAAAATGTATTCTCTAATCTCTACTCTCTACCTTCTACTCTCTACAGCGTATAACTCTACATTTGTGTGTATCTGTATCTCTTCATTAGATCATAGCTCATTATTCTTGATGATAACAAGAACGAGTATATTTTGCGAACATGATTATTAGTCTACACCGTAAACATTCACGAGGCTCAAGTTAAGCTAAGTAATAAAACTTCATCGCTTCTGAACACCGATTATATAACTTACAACTTAACAAGAAATGTAACGATAATTAAACGCATTGCTCGGTTTATAGGTTTATATAATATGCGATTATATTGCAACATTCCAAATTCCTAACTCTGCATACCTGCACCCTCTCAGAGTGTTAGAGTTAATAACAGCACCCTTCACTGTAAACAACACCTCTCTTTAAACAACTGTCCTGGTCATTGTGTAACATTGAAATAATGTAACACCTAATTACGAGGCTGTCTATACAGCAGGGTGTTAGTATAAGCTTACTTTGTTAGCCTTAGTAAAGTGAGTAACAGGGTATTAGCTGTGTTAGGCTGTACACTGTAAGCTAATGTTATGCTTCGTTGATAGCTAAAATACAGCTAAAATACAGATACAATACAGCTACAATATACCTACAATATAGCTAAAACATAGCTACAATACAGCTACAATATAGCGACAATATAGCTATTAGCTACAATACAGCTACAATATAGCTACAATACAGCTACAATATAACTACAATACAGCTAAGCTACAATATAGCTACAAATTGATAAACGTTTGATAAATTATTGTCTGTTCCGGCCCTACTCCCTATATATTACTTAATTACGGTATTATATATTAATTACTGTACTATATATTAATTACTGTACTATATATTAATTACTGTACTATATATTAATTACTATACTGTACTATATATTTTCTTGGATGAGTCTTCGAATGTGGTTCACTCAGTTCACAATTGTTAAAATACTGCCTCTGATAGTTCTCACATAAAATATATACATGTGCCTGAAGCTGAGGCATTAACCAGTTAACTGCTTAACACCTCTCTGGGGTTAACTTATTCAGCTCGTGTCTAAAAATATTATAAAATGCTGTTTAGCATGAACACCAAAAAGGGACTAAATAAGAGTGAAGTGACCTACTTCCATTTCCAAATCTGTCATATTTAATAAATTGTTCGAGGGTGATCATTAGATTGTTTAGATATTCCATTACCATGTTCAAACTTTATAACTATTAAATATGATTCCTTTCAGATTGTTGAATAATATTATGTCCTTATAAGATTTTTACCAAACGTCGGACACGAAGACGTTTCTAGCTCAACAATCAACTGTCTATGTGATATTATGCGCCGTTACCACTTAGCGACCAATAGTGACCACTTAGTAACCACTTAGTGACCAATTAGTGACCACTTAGTGACTTTGCATCTCCAAAACTGTATAATATATATTAATATCTAAAGGACTTTATAATAATATATAACTTTAAAAGCTGATCTTAAGTTTTTAAGTAAAGACGTCACGACAATATTATAATATATTCACACATTGCGTAACGTTTACTTTATAGAAAAATCACGCCTTGATAAAAAGTGACAGTCAATTAATAAATTCTTTATCATAATTATATCCATCTAGCAGACACCTGGTACTAGAACCTAAGTTGAGAAACATATTCATTATTAAATATACTAAATGTGCACCGTACTCAGAACCCCAGTGTTTGGTACTCATAACTCCAGTACCGGTTATTATATTACAATTTACTACCAGTAGAGAACCGGCCATTAGTAATTAGTAATCAAAAGAAGCCAGCCAGGCACTAAACTAAAGCCACCCATATTGTACCAATAGGAAAACACGCCTCAGTAGAATACACTGCACTTTACTTCTGTCGTTATGACATAATATACCCGTTTTAAATAAATATTACATATTATTTTCTCTCCCCCTCCCTTGCCAGCATATTACATATTATTTTGTCTCCCCCCTTGCCATCATCTCTGCTGACAGCATCTTATTATTCTGAACCTCTACTAAAATGTACAGCAGTTTCGGGCTACTTCCAGGCTGAGCAGGGTGGAGGGCCATACATTTAGTGGTGTTAGTACCTTGACAGTAAATAATATGTGCTGATATATTTTATGTTATAGGGTGGTATTCTGTTACGGTGCTTCGCTCTCGTGCACTGTGCATATTACTTTATACCGCCTTTATTTTGTGTTGTTTAATATTTAAGTTTTGTTGTGTTGACAGTTTTATATGTGTTTTGGTGGGAATCCTCGTTACAAATTCTCTAAATTTAGGGTAAACAAGTGTTGTATACAGTGAAAGTGTAGACCCACTTACACCAAGTCACTTCGTGACGAAGTGTAACCGTTAATGTGTCATGGTGGAGGTTTTACCGTAGTGTGTAGGGTTTTATACAAATGTGCACTTCATTATTTAGAAAGTTGGTGGTATATCCAATTCAATATTAGCTATGAATATGCTAATTTTTGGTAGATAATTGAACCCTGAACAGCTCGGTAATAAAACAGTTCTTCTAAAGAAGCCAAATCAGCAGATCGAACATTTCCTTCACTCTCGTGTCGATTAAAGTACAGGTTGAGGCCACAATATATTATGCAACAATACCCGAATAAAGGATAATGGAATTGAGGATGTTTAGTGATGATAATGGTAAACAATAGTTTGTGGTAATGTAAGTGAGCAACTAAAAGGCTGTTAGTTAATAGTTAGTTAATTTAATACCAGCTGTATGATGATGAATATTTATCTTATAATTATAATATAATCACTGACACCACATGGGAAAGTCCTAATGTTACGAGAATATGTGAGTAAGGAGTAAGGACCATTAACAGGGCTGTTCATTATTTAGAGGGCCGGGGGGGGGGGGGGGGGGGGGACATGTAATTAATATACATTGCATAAGTTCAAGCTCGTATAACGTAGCTCTCCACTATTATAAGAGTAACATCCACACTCAGTTCCACAGTCAACTATTGCTTCAACTAGTCAAACATCTACAATAAGGCACTTCTCATTACGATATATTAATATACTTTGTGTATCTAGTTATAACAGTGCAATGTGCATGATAGTGGGCCTAAATTTACTATCATTCCTGTGTAGTCCTCCCGAGGAATAACATAGAATCATCCGTATTCATTTAAAGAAGATAGGTTAAATATTACACATAAATACTAAATAATAGATAAAATTCCATCCCTCATCTCAACTAACCGTAATCACTGACACAGCATCTGGTTCTAAAAGCCATGGAGAGAGTGTACTGAGTCTCCGGGCTGAGTCCCGATACTACTGTCTCCGTGTGGTTGAGTGTGAAGTTCAGGGAGGTTACCAGAATGTTCTCCACTGTTGCGTGTACCTGAATTAGAATGGGTAAGTCACGTGGCTATGGTAACAGAAGTCACGTGACCAGGGTAACAGCCCACGTGCTGGCAGCAAGCCAACAGTGAATTAGAATACACACCACGTGACAGTGATCAGGTGATAATTATTCTCTCAACGAAGGAGTCAAACCATCATCATCATCTTCCAAATAAGACGTGCCGTTTCCTATCTCGTCTAATTCGTTAAATTAAGATAGTCTTGGAGAGCAATATACATTACCCCTAAATTGGAGCACGTCGGTTATCACGGCGTAGCTAATTACTAACACAAAGTGTAAAGTACTAAGAAAATCAAGTGTTGATTGCGAGTACTAATAAGAGCACTTAACCCTACCATTAGCTCGTAGCCAGTCAGCTGGTCGTTAATGATGTTGTCTGAAGGGACACTCCACACCACTTGTAGACTCTCTGAGGTCCGGATACCAACCCTGAACTCTAACACTCCGCTCGGGGGGACCTGGCTCTGGAAATTAATTAGGGTTAATTGTAATTAATTGGTTTACTAATTGAACTCATTCGGTGACTTTATTGATTGGTTATTTTAATGATTACTCCGCTAATTGAAAGAGCAACATAATGAGTGATTATGTGTCAGATGTTTCATGAACTGAGATAGAAAGAGTGACAACAATTAACACGACCAACTGAGATCATCTTTATAACTGTACTTGTTAACTGCGGCCTCTCCCACGTAATCGCCCAAAGTGGCAGTGCAATTAATATACTAATCACACTAATTGCGTGTGTTCTCAGAACTACACTACAATACCGTATTATCAATCATCTGAACTACAATTCCCTCCCTTCTCAACAAATTAGCAGAAGTCAGAACCCTTGGTTAAAGCACGCAGTATATATCTTAGGCATGCCCAGTTGTCCACAGTACTTAAATATTTTCTGATACTTAGCGATTTTAGTTATTAACTTAAATAAGTTGTATTATCAGTTATTTAGAATATATATTCGCATTTTATCCACACTATATTTACATTACACGTACAACGTGATATCGTTATCAGTGCAGTGTGTACAACACCAACTACACCGATCAATTGCCAATCTGCGAAACATTTAATTATTATTATCACTTCGAGATGGCCAGGCCTACTCTCATGCTGTCTATATGTGATGATTAACTCTGAAAAACTAGGGACAACTGGGGAATGATCCCAGAACCTCGAGATTTCGCGTCTCTTGCTCTACCAATTGAGCTACTGACCCTGATTCTCAGAGCGAAATCACCACTCATATACAGCACAATTTCATGCTTTGTGTGGAATATCATTTTATCAGTTATTTAGAATATATATTCGCATTTTATCCACACTATATTTACATTACACGTACAACGTGATATCGTTATCAGTGCAGTGTGTACAACACCAACTACACCGATCAATTGCCAATCTGCGAAACATTTAATTATTATTATCACTTCGAGATGGCCAGGCCTACTCTCATGCTGTCTATATGTGATGATTAACTCTGAAAAACTAGGGACTAGGTAGAGCAAGAGACGCGAAATCTCGAGGTTCTGGGATCATTCCCCAGTTGTCCCTAGTTTTTCAGAGTTAATCATCACATATAGACAGCATGAGAGTAGGCCTGGCCATCTCGAAGTGATAATAATAATTAAATGTTTCGCAGATTGGCAATTGATCGGTGTAGTTGGTGTTGTACACACTGCACTGATAACGATATCACGTTGTACGTGTAATGTAAATATAGTGTGGATAAAATGCGAATATATATTCTAAATAACTGATAAAATGATATTCCACACAAAGCATGAAATTGTGCTGTATATGAGTGGTGATTTCGCTCTGAGAATCAGGGTCAGTAGCTCAATTGGTAGAGCAAGAGACGCGAAATCTCGAGGTTCTGGGATCATTCCCCAGTTGTCCCTAGTTTTTCAGAGTTAATCATCACATATAGACAGCATGAGAGTAGGCCTGGCCATCTCGAAGTGATAATAATAAGTTGTATTATGTTAACAATATTACCTTAAAGGTTACTGAGAATTAGTTGCGAATTAACCAATAACCACATGTGATAACACAGCAATTAAAACATTGTCACAATTATTGTTTAAATTTCCACATCTTTAGTCACTAAAACCCACATGTAGTGCAGTTATAGTAGCACTTCCTTCCTCTCCCAACATCCACACACACACACAAATACACATACGTTTCACACAACTGTACAAAGTAACTAACGAAACCATACAAGTCAAGTAACCAATTTCTCAATAGGTGGCCGTGTTGTATTTATAGCGTGCTATGATGGGTTGAGTCTATCTAGTAGTTGTAGTGTTGTAGTATTGTTCATATAACGGTCATGTTGTGCTTCGGACGCTGTTTTTTTATTTTATTTGATGCTCTAGTTTTATATTTCGGTATATTTATATTAGGACTCTTGTTTGGTCCATATTTCAGTTTATTTAGCCCGCACTTTATTTTATTGTCCCTGTGTATTCTTGTTAATCATCCTAATAACATTTAAATGATCGTTCTGGTAATTATTACTTTTCCTTTTTGTTTGCTATAATGATAACTCCCTAATTCAATTCCTAGACGGAACAGTTATTGTTGTTCCGGACAGGGGAAATTAACAAATTAACGTCAGCCCCATAACATGTCAGGGCCGGAATGGTTACAATATGTAATTAATTTAAATGATCAGCGCCCTGTTTAGTTGATTAATCAAACAGACGTGTCTGATAAAATGTTGTTTGCCACAGTTTTATCGCATACCCCAGCTCTCTTTGACACGTTTCTTCTGCAGTAGAGTTGCGAGTAACTGTTGCGACTATGTGTTTAGTAACTGTGTTACTATGTGTTACTGGTTAATACTTGAGATTTCTGACGGTTAACTGATTTTATCACCAAGCTGAACTAGTAGCAGTGAACTGAAGCGCAGTAATCTGGCACATGTCGTATATGTTGAAGCTTGTGTATTTGCCCTGCATGCCAACTTTCCATGCCTGCTTCACTCTGCTCAGATTACATCATATTTACTGATAAATAGCGAGCCCGGGCCGTGTTTAAGTAGTTGCTGCTTGATGATAGCTTTGTATTCTGCTGATCGTTCACATATCTTTCGTGAAGCAGTTGTTGTGTAAACTGGATAGTGACCACTCATAATTTAAAATACAGTTATTTCTTCACGCAACTTTTGCGTATCTTCAGATAAAGCGATTAAATGATATACAATTAAATGATAGTTTGATCGGTGACTACACCTCAGGTATAATGGTTAAAAAAGAGTGCAATAACGAACTAATATTCTACATCTCCCTGGGTCTCATAATACTCAGCACAGTATTCCTTGTTTTGTCTCTCACTAGTTGCATCGCTCTTCTACGCAGACGAAAGAAGAACTACTGTACAAACTGTCGTCAGATCATTAAACTTGAGAACGTCATCGTGACCAAGGGACTATCAGCTGTATCACATGAGTCTCTGATGCGCGTAAAGCGCGCTATATCATCCAGTCTGACTGATAACCCAGAGTATGACGCAGTGCCGGAGTACGGCCGGGGAGATAACAACAATATAATAAGAGGGAGTGAGAGTAACATGAGGGACCCCCACTATGTGCCTTTAAGTAGCGGTAATAACCCACAGTACGCTCCTTTAAGTACCAGCACCTACACCACCATGAGGAGCAGTGAGTGCAGTCAGGGATCCTATAATAACTGTGACAATACTTACGGGGAACTCAAACTTTCCAAGTCTAAAGACAGTGTTATAAGGATAGGGTATGCTGGGGATGGTAGCACTAAGATTAGCTGCACTAAATCGTGTAAGTCTGCGATTGAGAGTGCCCGGGTTAGGAAGCACTCTGAGTATGAGTATATGAGGAGCCCGCGGCTGAACAAGAAGATGGCAACTTATGTTAATGTTAAGAACTCTAGTGTTTCTATTAATTCATCTAAGAGTGTTGTGTGAAAGCGAAAGTGAAGTGTATGGCTGCTGTGTCTGTTTTTGTCTTTCTGTGATGGTAAGATTTGGCTGTGTTGTAAGATTTCAAACAGGGTATTTGGTTTAAAAGAATTGATTATTCTGGTGTATGACGTTATGTATTTTTTAAACATTGAGGTGACAGCTATATATAAATCAGATAAGTTCAATTATGTCAAAATATGTAAATTATTTTTAACATGTTGAAAGATCATCAAATATGGCTTTTTGGAATCCGGTCAAATTAAAGATTGTAATGCCACGTATGGACAGTGGACTCATTTACATCATGTTTTTTCAGTTTGACACGTTGCATAATATATGACATATAGTTTTTGAAATACCTTAAACTTCATAACTTAACATTGACTTTACAACAAGATGGCAGAAGCTTAAAAGAGCTGTATAAAATTGATTACGACCTTGATTTCCTTGCACAAGGAGAAAACCCCTTCAACTCAGTCAGAATCACATAAATGAGTCTCACCTGTTCTGGTCTGTAGTTCAGAGCTTCTACCACGTGATCCAACAATATTGTGAGCAGATACAGAGAAAGAGTAGATAGAGTAAGGGTCGAGTTTTGATATCACAACTTCGTACTGGTCAGCTGTGTACTCGTGGTTTCCAGGCTTCTGTACTACTATGTAGTATTCCGATGCTATGTCACCTGGAATATTGATCATTGGAGAATGTAGATACCTGCTGCATAAAATTTGTCTAGCTCATACTCTTCTAGTTTCCACTAAAAGATATCTGGCTGATTGAAAGTAATCTCAGTGTCAACAATGGTTCTGACCTTGAGGTTCCCAGCGTAGGTGGAGGGAGGTTGAAGTCTTTGCGACAACCGTCACATTTTTAGGGATCAGTGGAGGCTCTTGAACAGCAATCTGAACACCAATCATGTTAGTGGATCTTCTTTTATATTTCAAACTCTGTGACAGCAAATTCTTTAAAGTTTTTGCCTAAGTCATGAAATCGGTTATCAAATAAACTGAATTAACCATCTATTAAATCTCACAAAATATTTGAATATAGATTTATTCAGTAATGCAGTAACAATATCACCAGCAGAGCACTTAGCTTTAACTTAAGAACAGTTTCAAAGTTACCTCAACTGAGTCTGACATTTCAAACAAGTATTCTCTCGGCTCAGTTGCTAGACAGTAATAAGAGCCACTTTGTTGTTGCGTAACATCGTTGAAAACTATACTTTGCTTATCTTCACTGAAATGTGTAACAATTTCAGCAAAAGAGCACCCAATAAAAGCTTGAAATAACATTGTTAATTTAGGTTCCTGTGTATTAAGGCAAGTGCAGAGGCATTTGTTATGTTTACTCACATAACAGAACAACAGATCTCAGAACAACGGATCAGAAAAAAGGATTTCTCACCTGAAATTTATCTTGCTGTCGGCATTTGGGTAAAGTGTGGAGCCATCGCGATTCCAAAAAAACACAGGAGTGCCAGGCCAGTCTTTGACATCACATTGTAAAGTAAAAGTTGTTTGCCAATGTGGAAACAAGTCTGGTGTTGGAGATATCACAATCGATGGAGGGCTCAGCCCGCCCACTCCATCACTTGTTTTGATCAAGTTAAAAGCAGTGACATAGAGTATCAGCCAGTCCCATCTGTACATTGTTCTAAGTGATCATTCTACCCCTGATGGAGTGTTTTGTATAAATGAAAATATCAGCCTATCTTGCATTGAAACTAGTCATACTATTTTTGTTTTTTTAAACAAATCTAAAACACTATGGGGCTTTCGGTAAATCAGGGTTGCCTAGGAATCTACATTTGGTATGACAATTTAGCTATCGTATCCAGAGTTGAAGAGGCTATTTTACAGAACCAGGCAGGGTGCAGTAAATCAGGGTGTCACTGTAATACAAGCTGTCTAACTTTGATGCACAAGGTTTATATGGGAGTAGCACCATCGAGTATCTGTAGTATATTTGAAAAATCACCGCTTAGACAAACGGAAAGGAGAAATCCAAAGTATTTTGAAATTAAGTTCAACAGATTACGGATCACCGATTATAGCATCTCTAACGTAGGATCACGATTATATAACAACACGATAAACGAAATAAATAAAATCCTTCCCTTCAACGTACCTAAGTTACAAGATAAGTTTATTAATTCATACAAGGACAAAATTGTACGTTACTTACTGGACAAACAAAAACTTGACCTAGAAAACCTTTCGTGGACGGACAAGAACTTTGTCCTTTACAACTTTTAAACAAAATATTAGCAAAATATAACAGCTGTAAGAATCCTAAACGTTAGTGCAGTCAAATAAATGAACTGCGATAATGCATTTGACAGTCAGTCACTGCAATTTATTCTGCAACTTATTTTTCAATTATCACTGCCACACTTAGGCTTATCTTGCCTACACATTTTTTTAAAACGAAATTCCTTGCGCACCGCGTACTAAAATTACTTGGATTTCTACCGCTTTAATAAATGACTACAAGAAGATGGGGAGTTAATATTGTTGATTTATATAATATAGATTATTTATTCTTTAGTGTAGATTAACTTTATTTTTATATATTTTACCAAGTGTGAAGGATCAACCATACGTTATTGATATTCTTGAAATATTTAATGATAAATTGATATAATAATAAATGATTGTAATATTTTTATTGAGGCACATGCCACCCCATCGCGGGTTTACTACTACTACTACTACTACATACATATCATTAGCTTTAACAACAATCCTTATTTTATTATAATGTAGATTAGATGGTGCAGATCTTGAAGTATCTGCACAGGAAAAAGATTTGTGGTTGTTAACAATATAGTTATACATAGCTCCCTGCTTTGCACTGAACAGATCAAAGCAAGTATTTCTAAGGCAAATCGTCCACTTGTGGAATCCTGTTGGCGCTTGTGGAAGTTGGGGATTCTCTTGGAGCCGGAGCAACCGGAGGCAGTTTACCCGTCTGATCATTTTAAAAAAAATCAAGACACTTATTTTACTTCGGAGTATTCCAACAGCCACATTGTTACACAAGTGCAACCAGCCAATTACAGGAAGCCGAAGGATTTGTTTTTAGCCAGTGATGGTTAAGGTAGTGTGTACCATACTTTCTTCGCCCGAGACTTTGCTGCATTGTGCAGCTCCTCATTTAACCCTCACACAGCTTAAGTTGATGTCCCTTCAGAGGCGGAGAGAGCGTTATTCTATTATTCATGTATGGAAAATTCTTAATGAACATGCTCCGAACGATACGGGCTTCGAGTTCCAGTCTCATCAAAGGCATGGTATTAAGGCAGAGATCCCAGCCATGAACAAAAACGCACAGTTGTCGGTAAGAACAGATTACGACAACAGCTTTAGAGTTAGAGCAGCTCAGCTCTTCAACGTGCTCCCATCGGAGCTCCGGAGTATCACATTGCTAGACAGTTTCAAAGTTGGTCTAGGCAGATTTATGGAACAGTACCCAGACACACCACCGGTTCCGGGATACACTCCGACAAACAATAACTCAATGCTGAGCTGGAGGAGGACGCACTCGATGCAGTTGTCCTGAGCACGCCCTGCCAAACTCACCAAAACGTACCAAAACGTACGTACCCGATTTCTCGAGTATTCGGCTGAGTAATAAATAATAATAATAATAATAATTTAAACTTATAGATTATAGTGGCACAACAACTTAAAATGCACAGGTGTGCCACGAAAACAAGTCAGGATACAAGAAAACCTGAAAAGCAATCCACATTTAGGTTCCAAATCATAGAAAATTGAAAAGACTTGATACACTAAATTACAAGGTTAAGGGTATGCACTTAACAGTAGAAACGTTGAAAAAATAGTAAATTAATTAATATCAAAAGCACGTTTAAAAAGAACCGTTTTCAGATACACTTTAAAAGATTCCAGTGACATGCAATTCTTAATTTCAAGAGGCAGCTCATTCCATAATTTAGGGCCAACTTTCTGAAACGATCTTTCTCCATACTGTGAATATACTCTTGGTTCAGTCAAATAGATAAGATGATTATAATTGGCATATTTAAACATATCACTTAGATAATCTGGTCCCATACCATTAAGACATTTATAGACAAGAAGCAATAACTTATATTGAATTCTGTAACTAATAGGCAGCCAATGAAGGTCTTTCAGAGTGTCTCCTAGATGATCATATTTATATAGTCCTACTATAGCTTTAGCAGCTGCATTCTGAACGAGTTGGAGTTGGTGGATGAGGTTGTCACTAATTCCATAATAAAGAGCATTGCAGTAGTCCAATTTGCAGACAATGATGCTGTTAATTATAAGCTTGAGCTGAGCTTTACTAAAGAGATATTTTCTCCTTATTACATTCCTTAGGAGTCTGAAACAATGCTTTTTGAGGGACATGATTTGAGGCTCAAAAGTAAGATGATGGTCAATTTGAACACCAAGGTTCTTTGTTGTGCTGACAAATCTGATACAGGTATCATTTGATAGCTTAACTCCCCCTATACTGACCTGGTTTAGAACTTGAGGTGAGGCGATGATAAGTATTTGTGTTTTTCCAGGATTAAGTTGAAGGCAATATTCAACCACCCAGCGCTGTATGGTCCTAGTGCAATTCACAATTTGGATGCCCAGAACATTTACCTGATCACAAGGTTTGAAAGTTTTATATACCTGGTGGTCATCTGCATATCCTTGCACATTGAATCCAGATTTCTCGATGGTCCTATACAGAGATCTGATGTATATGTTGAATAGCACCGGTCCTAACACAGAACCTTGAGGTACACCAAATTCTAGAATGATCGTATCACTAGTAGAAGAGCCTATTCTGGTTCTTTGAGTGCGGCCTACCAGGAAACTCTTGAACCATTTAAGAGCAGTACCTCCGATATGGATCTCTTCAGAAAGAATTTTGAGTAATTTTCTGTGTTCCACTGTGTCAAAGGCTGCAGATAAATCGAGCATCATGAGAACAGTGGAGGATTTGCTATCACATGCCAGCAGTAGGTCATTTGTTACTTTTAACAAGATGGTCTCAGTAGAATGGAACTTCTTATAGGCAGATTGCTGTGGAACATTGAGATCATTTTTAGCCAAATGTTCATTTAACCTTTTCAGCACAACTCTCTCTATGAGTTTACCCAGAAAAGAGAGGTTAGATATAGGTCGATAGCTCTTGAAGTCATTTGGATCAAGTTTGTGGTCCTTGATGGTAGGAATAATGTTAGCAGTCTTCAAACCGTCGAATGTGCCCTTAGCTAAAGACTGGTTGACCAGTTTGCACAAGACAGGAATAAAACTTGTGATATTGTCTTTGAGGACAGTTGTTGGAAGAAAATCAGATGGTGCACATTTGATTCCACTTTCTTTGATTATTTCAGACAGCTCATCCTCTGTGCATGGTTCAAATTCATATAACCGACCTTCACAGTTGGAATTGTTCTGTTGATTCATAATGTGTTTATCAACATCAAAATCTTCTATGCTGGGGAAATCTTTCCTAATGTTCTTGATCTTTTCATTGAAATAGTGATTAAAATCACTGCAAAGTTTTGAAACATCTTCTGATTCTGGGAGAGGAGTATTCTGATGTCTGTCAAGCTCACGATTGACAATGCTATATATAGCTTTAACATCATGTTGATTTTTGTCAAGTAAACCTTTATAATACTGTTGCTTTTTAAGATTAGCCATGTTTGTTGTTTCATCTCGGATCTCTTCAAAGAGTATCTTGTTCTCCTCACTTTTATGCTTAGTTCTCTCGGCTTTCCTTCTAAGTTTCCTTTGATCTTTGTACTCAGAATCAAACCAGGGAGCATGGGGAACAAAGCTTATAGTCTTTTGGACCAAAGGTGCATGTTCATCGAGGACACTACCAATACATTGGAAAAATTGTTCACAAGATTCAACAAAGCAGTCTGCCAATTCATAGTCAGAGGAACACATCAGTAAATCCGAGTAGACCGGGGGGGCTGCATAGACCGCTCATGATCCTTAGCTGAACGTCAACGACGCTCACCCCACGACCAGGCAGACAGTGGGATTTAAACCCACAACCTCACGATTGCAAAACGGCGTTCTAACCAACTGCGCTACCTGGCTCTAATTCATACAGCCTTAGACTGGAAATCCTCAATTTTGCAACGCTGGCAGAGCGGCGAATACGTGGTGACCTTATAATTATAAGTTCACAGTAACACCATTTTCAGAAAATTGAGAACTTGCTAGGAACCTACAATGTTCAACCAGGTTCTGCTGAAAAAATTATGTTTTATGCTAAAAATTATGCCTTTTTTGGTATCGAATGTTCTCAATGGAGTAAGATTATTCAAACAATATACACATAATATAACAATTACCCTATATAAAAATTCAATATAAATTCAATAGAAAACTAAATAAACACCCTTTAAGTAGTATAAGTAAGCCAGTTTAAAGAACTGGCTCCAAATTTATATCTAATTCTGCTATTTTTACTGCACTACTACTTTTTAACCCTCTCTCTCCTCTAAGAGCTATGACTGTTGTTCTCAAAAGGTCAAATCTTACTCTCTTCCTAATAAATGTCATTGCCTCACTATATCGTTGGCCTGATTTCCTAGAAAGTTTATCCGCTAATTTCTTGAAGAACTTATTAGCTTCCCTTCCCATACCCCCAGTGGTTGATAGGACTAT